ACTCATATTACTTTCATTGCACACACATCAATGCAATTAACTTGCATTACAATTGGATATTTTAATTTAATTATAAAAACATAAACAATGGAAAATGATAATCAATAAATATGATGTAGTTTGCCATCCATAATTGCATTATGTACAAGTTTGCAAAGATGCAATTACCATCTACAGCAATGCAATTGCATTATGAAATTGCAAATTAATATCATATAATAATGCAATTCAATATGGAGGTCTATTGTGAATGCTCTAAAAGAATCCATATCAATACAATTTCAAAATCAATAGCATATGAGGTTTCAATTGCCACCTCAATATTTTTGCAATCCAACTCATATTAAAGTCATTGCAGCTACATCCATACAATCCACTTGCATTTGCATATGTAGTTAAGTATTATTTTAAATTATGATAAAACAACGCAAAAGTAAAGGAAAACAATGAATCTCATTTCTTAAGGCAATTTCAGCTTTCATATGCAATTGCATTTGTTGCAAGCTTGCAAATATGCAATTGCAACAAATGTTATAACAACCACATTAATGGATTGGTTTTGCGATTGCGAAAATTCATGTCATGTCATGTTGCAATAAGAAATGCAATACCAATGTGTATGCTCTAAGAGGTATGAATTTTGAAAGTGTTGCCATGTGATATCTATTGAATCTTGAACTTTTGTTATTTGAGTGTGCCATTTTAGTAATGGATAGGTGAATTGTGAATTTTTAAAGTGGAACGAATTTGCTACATATCTTATCACTTACTTATATTCACTACAAGGTTTTAATAAAGTACGAGATGTTTCACTCACAAAATAATAGTGATAGAAATACTAATCATCTATGGGACTGTAAGAAAGACGGATCTAGACGTGCTCGTCTGGGTTTCATGTAAGAGGGACTGGATGATCGATTGGGATTTGGGAAATAGAATTGGGAGATTGCGGATTTGAGAAGGGAAGCTCGAGGAAGAAGATAGAATTCAGTCTTCAAGGGGAAGGGGAGGTCGACGGCTAAAAACGACTATAAGGGCCAGAATTTATGTTTTTGAAATCCACCCTTCTTGAGTCCAACCTTGTCGTCAAGGTTGATCATTCTTTCTCCTCCCTCTCATTCGCTTCCTCACCTGCAAGCTCTTCTCCTTCATCCTCCCAGTTGCCCACCAACAACATTAGGTGGCTTTTGGCACGTTTGTGTCCCACGGGGTACCTCTCATTACAGTTGAAGCAGCAGCCATCCCTACGCTTACGTTCTATCTCTGCCGATGTCAGCTTCACAAATCCCATTGGTGGCAGCCGAGCTGGGATGAGCCCTCTTGGCGGTACCCTCGTGGCCATCGGGCTGGCAGTTCCCGGTGCGGAGGCGATTGTAGGTGCATTTCCTGAAGCCCCCGTCGCATTCGAACCACCCTCGGATCCGCTGGTCCCCTTCTGGAACTTCACCACAATGGCCTTCTAGCTGGCGAGCTCTTCCTCCTTTTGACATGTAAGTCTAAAATCAACCCACAGTGAGTCAGGATTAAATACCTTAACCGAAGCTGCCAGCTTAGGGTGCATCCCTGCCATGCACAACCCCACCATGGTCTCCTCTGTCATGCCTCTACACTGGTTCCCTAGTTTTAAGAACTCGGATCGGTACTCCGCCACTGTCCTTATATGCTTCAGCTTTGCTAACTGCTCTGGTGCCCAATTTTCTACCTTCTTGATTGGTAATTGAGCTCCTCCTAGAACATCGGCGAGGTGATCACTATCTTCGCGGCTACATAGGACCTCTCCATCCACTCCTACCACTGAAGGGCATCACCCTCCAAATAGAAAGACGTCAGATGCGTATTCCTCTCCTCCCTGGTAGGATGGTTTCTAAACCACCTCTCTACCACATACAACCAAAGGCCCATGTCCCCATAACCATCAAATTTAGGAAACTCAATAACAGGATGCTTAGGCCTAAACACCATGTCATCATCCACTTCATACAAGGGGTTGTACCCGTCATACCTGCCTATTCCTGGTTTGAAGTTACCTGATCCGCCCCCCGACCCGTCGCTATCGCGCCCCCGCCTCGGCCTCAATCGTTGGGTCCCTGCCAACCGGAGCTAGCTGCTCCGGCGTTCGGGTGGTCTCTGCAGCCACGGTTACTTGAAATTTTTCACTCCATCCGACCTATAGCTTCCATCAGGCCGGTTCTGAATTCCCGCAGCTTCAGGTTTGTCCTCTCACCGGCGATTTTCAGCTCCTCTCCAGTGGATCCCAAGGCCTGGAGCATCGACTCGTGCTTGGCACTATCATTGACGATCAAGGTGTCCTTTATAACTATTTGTGCTTTATCAGCCATCCTTCTTGAACCCTATGCCAAGCAAGCTCTGATACCACTATAAGAAACACAGATCTAGGCGTGTCCGTCTAGGGTTCATGTAAGAGGGATTGGACGATCGATTGAGATTTGGGAAATATAATTGGGAGATTGGGGATTTGAGAAGGGAAGCTTGAGGAAGAAGATAGAACTCAATATCTAAGGGTAAGGGAAGGCCAACAGCTAGGGTAGAGAGAAAGAGATATTTCGGGTCTAGAGGAAGAAAGAAAGAAGCAGTAGGTTTAGAGAATAATTGTTATGTTATTGTTTAATGAGTAAAAACCCACTAATCATAGAATATATAAGCCGATAAATTCCCCACTCCCCCCCCCCCTCCCAAAATAACATCCCAAATATCTAAAACAAGACTAAACGACAATTAAATCAAAAAATGACGAGAATGGCCATAATTTATGTTTCTAAGAGAGACCCACTCCACTCATTTGGAAGTGTTCCATCTATAGCTGGTTCGCTTTGATACGGGGTCGTCTTGGTAATCATGGCGACGAGCGGTAAATGAGACAGAAATTAAGTTAGATGAGTTAAGAATAGTCTTCATAGACCAAATCCAAGTGCTACAGGTACATTCTCAAGGGCAAGAGGTGGGCAATGGCAAAGTTAGGGTTTTGAATGAGAGGGTCTGACTAGTGATTTGAACCATGATAATTCGAGAATGGAGCTAACGCCTTACCAACTACTTTTTTTCTAAATTTATAATGAATTTTACATGTAATTTTTCCTATATTTCAAATTTAAAGGAGGTGTAAACTCCTAGCTCTGACTTAACATAGCTCCGCCAGTAGAGGTGGGTGGTTCGCAAAATGGAATACAACAGACAAATGAAACACCAAAATAAATTTGTAATGTAACAAGTTGGAGTGATGTTGACTACCTTGAAAGATGCTCAGAACAAGGGATGACAACAAAACTCGAACCCAAGGGTATCCTACCCGACCCAACCCGTGTTGACGGGTTTTGGGCCGGATTCGGGTTTCAACCTGTTCACTATTCGACGGGTTGGGTTTGGGTTTAGGTATACCCGCCCCATGGATACCCGCCCACACTCACAATTAATTTTCCCTGTATATTTAATATTCTAAGCAACTAATTTTTTATGTTTGTTTAGACATGTTTAATTTGTTCTTCATAATTGTACTATAGAATGAAGTTGATATTATGGAGTGAAGAAGCTTAGTTGACAAGAAGGAAGAAGCTTTCAATTAATCATGTTTTTTTATGGATAATTTGTGATTTGCTTCAATTTTCTTGAGTTTTCTAGATTGGTGTTGAATAATTTATATAGTTAATTTGTGATTTACTTGAATTTTCTACAATGGTATTTTATGTATGGATAATTTGTATGAAGAGATTGATATTTGACTTTTATTTTGATAGGAACTTGTTATTGTATATTTTTACGACAAAACCCATGGGTACCCATAAACCCTCGGATACCTAGCAAGTTGGGTTGGGTTTGAGTTTTCCAAACCCCATGGGTTTTACCCTGGTATTTTTTCACTAATAAACCCATGAGTTTGGGTTTGAGTTTGGCAAAACCTGACCCATTGCCATCCCTACTCAGAACTATAAATTTCATATTTCTACATAGTTTAAAATAGTAAGACAAGAACATTTCCTAAGGAGAGGTAACAAAAACAAGGCAAACAAAGAAACACTAAGACTGGCTCCAACCCAAGGAGTGAAAAAGCTATAAAGCCATGTTTGGCTTTTTTTCTTCCTCCAACCCACAAAGAAAAGGGAAGCTAAATATTGGTATTGTGGTTTTTGGGAGTCATATATGGCTGGGTTTTTGGAAGGGAAGCGAAATTTAGCTGGAAAAAGGGGCCTGCCTCGTCGGCTTGCCGAGAGAGGCGCGGTACGCGCGGTTGGGGAACAAGCGCGCAGGGGAAGACCTGTCTCGGCCAGCCGGCGGGGCAACTCCTTTTTTTTCTCTTTTTCCTGGTTGGTTGGTTGTTTGGGAGTTTTTTTTTCTCTCTTCTCATTTGTTGTTTGTGATTCAATTTTAAATATAAATTTGAAATAATTGATGTAGTGACGAAAAACGGTCATATTTGAACGGGCATAAAAAAAGTCATATTTAACGGCCATAGTTTTTCTTATATATCACAACACTCTTCATAGATTTCTCTTCACTCATTCTCGGAGCTTAAATCGCATTCTCTCAAAATTCAATTGTTATCGTCTCTCAAAATAGAAAAATGGTAGGAAAGAGAGGACCTAATTGGCGTCCGAATGAAGATGAAATCTTGTGCAGAGCTTGGGTGTCGATATCAGAAGATGGAATGATTGGCACCAACCAAAAGTCTACAAGGTTGTGGGAAATAGTGGCGGCAGAACATCAAAAATGGGATCTACTACAACTCGTACTGCTATTGCAATGGAATCCCGAATCAGGATTAGTAGCTATCACTGCAATGCTTGGAAGGGAGTTTTGCAAACAGCACAAAGGCATCATTCGAGTGGCACGAACCAGTTTGATGTGGTATTCTTTTGGACCCTAAATTTGTTATTTTCTTATTTTTTATGTGTCAACAAAAACTTCTCTAACCCATGTACTAATTATTTTATTAGGAAAAGGATTCAAGAGCAATATATAAGCAAGAGAATGGGAACAAGTCTTTTACTTTTGAGCATTGTTTTGACATTCTTCAAAATTGTCCAAAATGGTATTGCAATACTGAACTGCTTGTTAGTCCCATTCCACCCATGGGGCAAGGTTCCCAAAGTTCTCCCACAGGTTTTGGATCTCAATCATCTCCTGTGGAAGGCCTTGATGACGTACCAGATGAAGGAGCTACGCCTTTCGTGTTGACTCGCCCTGAAGGAAGAAAGGTAAGGTAGTTGCTGAATCGTCAGACATATACACTACTCAACTGCTAGAGTTTGGTAACGATATGAGAGAGAGGCAAAAGTCGAGGATGGAGTACGAAAATATAAAAATGAATGTTCAAGAGAGGAGACTAGAGCAGGAGAGAGGAATGGGAATACAAGAGGCAAATGAGGGAGCGTGAAGCGGAAAAGTGGGATGTTGAGAAGAAAGAGAGGGAAGCCGCAATACTTCAACAAAATGTGGCTATTCTGGAGAAGGATTTGTCAAAGATGACACCAAGAAAGAAGATATTTTGGAGGCGTAAACAAAATGACATTTATGGGTATGATCAAGATGATCCCAACTCTTATCCAAGTGATGGTGGAGATGGAGATGCAAGTGGTGGAGGAGATGGCGACTATTTTCCTATCATGGATTTATAATTAGAAGGTCCTATGTGTAGTCTATTGTCTTTACTGCTTTAATGTGTGGTGTGTTCTCTTTCGACCTTGTTGTTTTCATGTGTCATGTGTATTCTTTGAACTTTGAGCAATTCCATGTGTAATAAAAACAAATGTTATTGAAACTTTGCACTAAGTACTCTTCACACTTTATTGAAACATGAAATACAATCACACACTGAAACTTGAAATACAAACAACCAAGCAACATGAAGTAAAACAATACTAGATATTGTCGTGCAAATTCCAAATATGCTCAACCAAGTCATTTCTAAGCGCATGATGTGTTGTAGATGAGTGAAGCCTGTTATTTCTAGCCAAGTAATCAATCAGAGTTTGAAGGTGTCGGTTGATTGGTTCAGGTTGTTCATGGACCTCATAATCAAGGTCATCATCCATCTCGTCATCATAATCAACTTACTCATCCTCGATTATCATGTTGTGTAATATAATGCATGTCAGCATTATATTGTTAAGCGTGACAACATCCCAAGCTCTTGTAGGGCCACGAACAATTGCCCATCTTGTTTGGAGGATTCCAAATGCCCGCTCTACATCTTTGCAGTGTGCTTCTTGATGTTGAGCAAACAAAACCTCTTTGTTTGACCTTGGATTGCTGAAGGTCTTCACTAAAGTCGACCATGAGGGATAAATACTGTCAGCCAAATAATAACATTGATCATAAGCATGACCATTTACCTCAAATTGTACATGTGGAGCGCTTCCATTGACGATACGATCAAACACTGGAGACATCCCCATAACATTTATATCGTTGTTCGATCCAGATGTCCCAAAGAAAGCATGCCATATCCATGTGTTGTAGTAGGCCACCGCCTCCAGAATGTTTGTTGGCCTATGCATGTGGCCATTGTATTGTCCTGCCCAACCACTTGGACAATTCCTCCATTCCCAATGCATGCAGTCAATTGATCCAATCATTCCAGGAAAGCCACGACTTGAGGCTTTACGCAGTAAGATCCTTAAATCAGCAAGAGTAGGTGCGCGAAGGTATGTGGCCCCGTACATGTTGATAATGTTGTTGCAAAACTTTCTGAAGACCTCTAACAAGGTGCTCTCACCCATACGAACATACTCATCAAGTTGATCAGCTGGAGAACCATATGCTAGCATGTGCATCGCACAAGTAAGCTTCTGCTCTAGAGATAGTGACAATTGACCAAAGCTATCACGCCTTAGAGCAAATGAGAGGTCAAACCTCACAATGTCGCCCATAATGCGATGAAATAATCTTGGTTGCATCCGATAGCGCCTTCTGAATATGTGAGCATTGTATACAGGATTTGGATCGAAGTAATCCCTCATAAGAAGTCGATTACATTCGACCTTTTCACGATTAATGTGACGTGGGCTTGTAGTTTGACGACGACTTGATGAACCTTCAGCCAGCCTCCGGCCGATCAAACTCAAACGTAGGTGGTGAAACCTTTTGTACTCTTCAATTTCTGCTTCTCCTCCAGACGATGAGCTATCTGAGATACTCATGATGAATGTGTTTGACTTAGAAATGGGAAGAAGTTTTAGTTGAGTTGATAAAAATAGAAATTGTCATTTATAAAGACATATGCCGCTGTAGCGGTCCAACCGGCATTAGACCGTTTAAAAACCGTTAGAGAACCGGTACCTAATAAACGTTATCAGTATAAATAGTAGACATTTCTTAATCAGAGCTCATCTCTTTCCTTCGAAATTGTGAAATAGAAATAATGATTCATTTTAAGAGGCCGACATTTTTTGTTTATTTCAATTTTCAATATTGTGCAATTTTTTTTAATTAAATTTAGTGGCTGAGTTGCAAAAACCGGACGAGCAGCTCAATCGGCTCGAATGGTTAACCGCCTCGGCCGCTCTTCAACCACTACATAAAACCGGAGCGGCTTTTAGACTGTTCCGAGCCGGTTTTGTGACCGGGTGACGGTTTTACTGGTCGGGCCGAGCGGCTCGGCTTTAATAACACTGCTAAAAAGCCATATTTGGCTATTTGGGAGCCAAATTCCCCTTTGTGGGTTGGAGTTAGTCTAATAAATAAACATCAGTTGTGGGAGATAGTGAAAATGATGTTATCGTGAACAAACAACTCCATATAGTAGCCACATTTGTGAGCTCGCAAACAGTAGCCTATTATTTCCCAAGTCTTGTGGGTTTCAACAATGGAGATGCCACTTCCTCGTTTGAAGGGGGTGGACGTGACAGCAGATTACGATCCGTCTATTCAACACAGAATGACACCTAGTGTTTGAGTTTCAAGCCGACTTCAGAAGGGAATGCCCTGCCACGGTGGTTGAAGATCATGAAATCCACGTTCTCAGGCAAAGAAACAACCCTGCATCCAAAGAAAATAGCAGCAAAATGGTTGATGTCAAAATTAAGCTCCATAGATGTTAAATAGGGAAGTCCGAAAATTGTAAAGTGAACAAGAGCTCTGGCATTAAGCAGCTGTCTCTTAACGCTTTTAAGTTTAACTATGTAATATCAGTAGCAATACATGCACGAATAATCATAGTTACAGAAACAAAAAAACAAAAAAATACGAGACAGGAAGTGTTGTTCAGGTGTACAGTTTGCAGTAAGTGCTAATTAACAGGACATTGCACAGAAATTGGGCAGTTTCTCATTAGAAAAACTACGTATCTTAACAAGAATAAAGCAAGCAAGGAAAAGCCTCCTACCATTTCGAAAAAACAATCTCCTGGAGCTTATGATGGAAAACATGAAGTAGGGTCTAGACCCATTTCATATTCAGTTTTGCAAGGAATTCATAACCAACTGCTGCTGCTGTTTATGCAGCAAAGGAAAATATAGCTGAGACCAACATGCATTCCACTTTACAGGGTGCGAGTCCACCACCAATCAAACTATATGAATAATTTATATGCACGAGCATCAATGATAGAGCCCTAACAGATTACCCAGAAATACAAAACACGATCACACTTATAATTGTAGCCACTGAGAACCGTTACCGTTCCATCACTGGAAAGCGACAGATTGTTGCCTTTTCATAGTAAATCTAGGAAAACCAGAGAACAATAGTTGACAGTCACTTATAACACGCTGCCAATCAGTTACAGAGCCCTGATAGATGAAGCACAGAGCATGATCAAATTGCAGCCACCTAGAAACGTGAAAGCGGACTAATAATAGTAATAGATCTTTGAGTTTTCCATTGTACATCTAGCACCCAAAACCAAGAACCATATATGCTAAACCTTCTCAATCAAATGCATAGCAAGCAAGATACAGTTAACCGAACCAACGTAACATATGTATTGCCTGTAAAATCCACTAAGCAGTAAATCTGAGAATATATAAGTCGCACGCACAAACTGACATACCTATTCTCGTCGGAATGGGGATGTACAGACAGGAACTTCCCCGGCACAGTTAAAGCTGCCCACATACAGAACAATAGCCCTACAAGCAACTCCAGCACCACCTGCATCGATCCAACACGTCATTCAGTTCCAAGCTCCTCTCAAGCTAACGATTTTGTAGTTAGCAAGAAGAAGAGAAGCAATCAGAAGGGAAAGAAAACTCACCTCCATCGGAGGTCCGGAGAACTCCTCCTCCGTAATCTTCAGCAGGCTCCTATCTGCATCAAACCCAAAGGGAGAATTCAATCAAATCCATAAAGCTAATCAACAAATCTCACCAGCTTTGGGAAAATTAAAGCTTCTCAAAAGGATAATAGGTTTACACTGAATAGTTGAATAGGCGGCGTGGCCCAGAATCAGAACTCCAATAACGCCCACTGTAAATCCCAAACCCATCTGGCCAGCTGTATGATCCTTCGCCGATCGCAAAACCTGCCGCTGATACCTCCTTAGCAATCGACCTCAATGTTTCTTTTTCCCCACTTTTTCCTAATCGCTCTCCACCTTTTTCTCTCTTCTTGTGTCAAAAAAGCTCCAGAGATCTAGCTTTAATCTTGCCGATGCTGCTTCAACTCCGGAGAGATTTTCTCTAGAGGATCGATTGTTTTGTCGGCGACTTAACTAGTGGGGACAGAGCAATCTTCGATTATTGATGAGCCGGAAGTAGCAACCCAACTGAAGAATCCCCTAGGAATTACCGGAACGAGAAACCCGGGAAGCGAATGACGCTCGCTTTAGAGAAGAATAGAAGAGAGTAGGCAGCTAATACAAGGGTGTTCAAACGGTGTGGTTACCGTGGTAACCATTTTAATCAGTAGTATCCTTACTTAATATTATAGGAATTTAAAACTAAATCTTTGCCACATGAGCACATGGATAACTCTAATTCTTCCATGGTGGACATGTTCTAATTATAAACTTTTTCCTTACACTTAAAATCATCATTATTATCATTAAAATGTGCATTAAGTTAATAACAATGAATGCAATCTTTTGGTTTGTTTCTATTGATTTTCCAGTGTAGATGATCTAAATAAAATTGAAAATTGGAAAAAATAAAAGATAGAAATTGGGTCAAACCCTATAAAAACAAACAAAACTCTTTTCTTATTTACTCAAAATTTTGAGATTTCTAGCATTTCTGTTTTCTTCTCTACTATTTTATGCATAGATACATCAACATGTAAGGAAAATGGTAAGACATAGAGTTTTTTTCATTGCGTTAGTTACAAGAGGCAGCAATTAGATGTGAAACAATTGAGTAGTTGTAATATATTGTTCCTATTGGCAAAATAGTTCTTATCATTGCGAATACGAAGTAACCAAGCCAAGTATTATCGACAACTCCCTATTCTCCCGTGATCCGCAGCTGATGACTGACCTCTCTTCTCCAACGATATTTGGCTGCTTGTGATTAACTGGTCGGGTTCTACTCTTCTTTCCATTTCTTAAGTACTTTCATATTATGGTGGCAGGGTTGTAAATTGCCCTACTTGATCTACCATTTTTTTCATCTTCTCTTTAGGTATTATTCAAAACTAAATTACTGGCACATCAACACATGGATAGCTCTCATCCTTTCATGGTGGGCAAGTTCTAATTATAAATGACGTACCTTATGTTAACACTTTCAATCGTCATTATCATTAATAACACATAAATTTAAGTTAATAACAATGAATGTAACCTTTTAGTTTGTTTCTATACGTTTTTTTTTTTTGTATAAATTAGCTCTCTAAAAATAAAACCCATGATTAGAAAGAATAAAATTAATTGAGTGGGTCAAGCCTTGTAAAAACAAACAAAAATCTTTTCTTCTTTGCTCAAAAGTTCGAGATTTCTAGCATTTCTCTTTTATATTATTCATTGGATGCTAAAATGAAAAACAAATTGTGATGATTGTCACCTTACCATGTTCTATCAGAGGATGTTTTTATATTTATTATGTTCATGAGTGGCTTGCTACTAGCTAGCTTTACAATGATGATATAGTCAGTAAGTAGTAAGTAGCAGGGGGTTATAAGTAGAAGGGATGTGGAGTTTTATAAAGGTCACAAATAAGAAATAAAGTGGTAGTGGTGGTCATTGGGTTGTCTTTGTCGATGTTCTTTCAATTTCTTAAAGTGTGCAATGTCATTTGTTTGTTTTCTTAGCGTGGATTGATGCATCAATCCAGTTCATGATTGAGGAATTCATAAGATGGAACGAATTGAGTTGTACTGAAGTTTGCAACTTTCACTATTCGTCTATGTTGTTATTAGATAAAAAAAATATTCGTTTTGCAGAGAATATTTAGCCCTCTACTAAATATCAATTATATTTATATGCGGTTAAATTTGCTGAAAATATTATTGTAATGAATTAATGATAGTTGATAGTTCTATTTATGGTTGGTTATGCTAGAACATTGCTAAGGTAAACTAAAATAGATAAGCAGAAGATTGATTATGTGGATGCTAATGAGATTTCTTGCTCTATCAAAATTACATGGATAACTTATATTGCATGATATTCATAGGATCTAAAATAATAATAAAAAATAGTAGACACAAAACAGTTTACCTAAAATAATTTAATAAAATTATTGTTTCATTAATAAATGGAAGATACAAAGGGTCTAACAATATCTTCTTATGAAATAAGGTAAAGGAGATTGAAATTTTCATGTATAATAGTGTAACATACATGAATCATAAGAAAATAAAATAATACAATAAAATATAAATCAATTTGCACCGCCCAACGGGCGGTAAAAAACTAGTTTGATTAATTTGGTTTGGTTAATTTCGATAATTGGTTTGGTTTTGTTAAAAAATTTAGCTTGTTTGGTTTAGGTGGTTTGGTTTGGTTTCACACTCCTAACCAATCAAACCAAATTAACCAGTTAAGTAATTAGCCATATATCTAATATATATTATATACACACATTTAATACTTTGCATAACCACTCAAGAGTGAAATGTAAGATAATTGTATTTGTTACATGTATTTACTTAACCAAGCCGAATAAACTTTAGTTTGGTTGATTTGGTTGTTGTATTAGTTTGGACGGTTTGGTTATGATATTGTATTCCATGGTTAATAGAATTTAGACTTATTTGGTTTGGTTATTACCATGGTAACCATTTGAACACCCCTAGCTAATACTCTTCGAAAGAACAGATCATTCTTCCGGCAATACATTTGTATAGCCATAAGTAACAAAATACAAGAGAAGAAAGTTATGTATAAAATACGTACGGGTTCGTCTCTAAGGTAATGTTATGCTTAATAGTACGTTAATAGTTATGAAAATAGTTAATTATTTTAAAAATAAATATATAAATAATAATTTAATTCATTAAATAATGATATTTAACTTCTTATACGAGTTTTATATGTATTTAGTACGAGAGTCAAATGACAAAAAATGAAACGGGTTGACAATAATACAAAAATGAAAGTTTTAAATGGATAAAATAAGTACGAATACATATACGTGTATTAAATGGAGTATTTACTAACTATTAGTGGCAGAACCAGAATATTGGCTAAGGGGGTGTTTTTCCATACCACAAAAAATCAATTGCATAATAGAAAATAAATTCTAAATGAAATAAAATGCCATCAAAATAATACTAAAGATTCGCAATAATAGTCCAATGCATGTCACTTACAAATGAACTGAGGGATTTCATATTATTAAAAGCATTATAAAATACATTTCATGTACAAAGTAGCACACAGTTCTTGTTCAATATATATAACTAATGCATCTTTCATTTAGTTATTGTTCAATATATGTCACTAATGCATCTTTCATTTGAGAAGACGGAGGCTATCTAAGGAGTGCTTCACCTCACTTGTGAATCCATTCATAAATCAATCAAGTTTTGGGTAATACAACTCTAACAAGAGTTCTCTTTGTTATTGTGAGTCGAGCGAGTGTGAGTGAAAACTGACTTAGTTCTCTAACGCGACTTGAGTGCTAAAACTACTTGAAAGGAATTTAGTCTCTGACAAAACTCACAAGGTAGAAGTAGACAACTCCATCAGTTTCTCCTTTTGCAATTGAGTTTTTGTGGATTTAAACAAGTCATAGATGACAATAAGTGGCAATTGAGTTTTGAGAATTTAAATAATAGTTTAAATAAAAGTGTACGTTGTAATTGGTACAACTCAAAACGTCTCCAGTTTAGATGGTCAGATGGGTGGTATGAGATTATCAGGTAAGGCTCAATTATCTTGCAATTGTTTTCTCCAAAGGGCTGCACGCACCCCTCAACTCTCTGAGTGGCTCCGCCACTGCTAACTATGGTCATAACTCTGATGATTTTATCAATAATAGTCACTTTTGTGATAATAGTATACACAAAATAGTCAGTTCCATTCAATTCTTTGATTGATGGTTTCAAGTAACTGACTAACTGGACTAACGGTGTTGCTGACTTGGTGACATTTTCTAAACAACAGTGCCACATATATTAATGAAAAAATTAATAAAAAAATAAAAACAAAAAGCCCGATCATTAAATGGCCCAAACCCAACTTTCCCCTAAATACGACTCCGATCTTTGTTTTCCCCTCACGGGCAACCTGTCCTCGAAACAACTTGTCACCCTACTATGGGCGACGAGATCCTCCTCCTCCTACCGGCATTCCCCTCCTGCCACTCCGACGTCGCCAAACCCAGAAATCAACAACACAGTCGTAGGTATCTTCAGATCTGGAAACTTTCGCCTAACAGCGATGCAATCCTCCTCCCTTCCCTCTGCTTCATCATTTGACTCAACGAATTTGGATTCCAATTGGTTTTGAAACACTTATTTGGGAAGACGGGGGAACCAAAATAATGAGCAAAGGAGAAGAAGAAACCACCACTGATGTCGGTGAAATTCCTCATCGCTCACTTCGCAGATCTCCGCGTAATCGCTAAGTTCGTGAAACACTAGGTTTGTGAAGAAGAAACTGATGATGAGGAGACCAGTGGTCGACTGGTCGCACATGGAGTAGCTGCAGATGAACCCATAAGTAGAACAACGAACAAAGAATGACTTACCCATAACCTCTATCCAAATTGCGGATCTGGAAAAATCGAGAGCCCTCAATTTGTGTGACGATTTTGAGGAATGATGGTGGAAGACTTTGTGCAACGACGCTAACAGAATCGATGGTGAGGATCGCCGACCCACTCAATTGAGTTTTTGTGGCTTCCGTTGATGGGATGGTATTTTCTCGACCACCGTTAACAGCTTGGGATTTTATATTTGATATTTGGGGGTTTTGAGTAGCTTTTTCATATGAATTTCAGTCGGAGAAGGAGTAATTTAGGGGTGTTCAAATGGTTACCATGGTTATAACCAAATCAAATAACGCTAAATTCCATTAATCATGGAATACAATATAATAATCAAACCGTCCAAACTAATACAACTAGGGGTGTACATGGGTCGGGTGGTTCGGGTTTAACCATTTTAATCACCCGACCCATGCACTACGGTTTGAGAAATATTAAACTCAAACCCACCAAAAAAAATTTAAACCCTACGGTTTATTTCTAATTGGGTTGGGTCGGGTTGGCGATATTTTTTAGTAAAAATCCAACCCAACACAAAATATATAATTATTCTACAACATAAAATATATTTTATAAATAACTAAATTTCAAATGAATATACCGAGGTGAAAGGCATCAAATTTCACAAATGTCGTTTCATTTTTAATAAAATGTGATTTACTTCAACATATGTCTAATTTTTTTCACGATATTTGTTAAAATAGGCTAAAAAGGTTATAAACGAATGCACCCATAATATGTTATTCTATTAAAATTGTACACAAGAAAAAGGATTACGTGAATCATAGCTATGTTAAATTTATGTCTAAACTTTAAACCTAAGAATGCATTAAATTAGGGAGACCATGAGAGAAAAACATGGTGAAATATCTTAATTTTAGCATAATTATAAATGACATAAATATTTTTGGATACGAACTCCTACCAATAGTTGGAACACGGGTTGGGTCGGGTTCTACAGGTTGTGTAATCCAAAATTCAAACCCAACCCAATAGAGGCGGGTTGTACAAAAGAAAACCCTCACCCAACCCGAAACCTTTGTTTTAGCGATAAATACGAGTGGGTTGGGTCGAGTTGGATGGGTGGGTCGGTTTACGGGTGTGTTTGTTCACCCCTAAATACAACAACCAAATTAACCAAACTAAAATTTAATCGGTTTGGTTAATTGGTTAACCAGATTAACCAATATAAAATCACATTATCATTGACGATGAAAATTATTCGGGTAATGCAACAATTCGTAATATATATAATGAATAAAACATAACAATCAACACGTACTTATAGTTGACCCTTAACAAAAATACATACAACTAAGACAATTATCTTAAGATCAGTATAGAAGTATTCACCTAACAAAAATTTATGACAATGGTATGGGTTAAAGAATTGTTGTGTTTGTGTAAATTGACTTAATCTCTTAGCAATTATCATAGGCCGGAAATGACCTTCCTTTCAAGTTTTCATCCATCATAATGTATTAAATTTATCTAAATTAGGCGTTCATATGTTGTGGTCTACACTTTACATATACAAATATACACTATATGAGCAATATTGAGCTTTCTATTTTATGAGTCTAAAAGGGATGAACGTTAACTCTTGAGTGGTTATGCAAAGTATTAAGTATGTGTATATAATATATGTTAGATATATGACTAATTACTTAACTGGTTAATTTGGTTTGACTGGTTAGGAGTGTCTGAAACAAAACCAAACCACCTAAACCAAACAAACTAAAAACTTTAAACAAACCAAACCAATTATCCAAATTAACCAAACCAAATTATCCAAAAAGTACCGGTTAAAACGGTTACCACGGTAACCAAACCGTTTGAACACCCCTACATGCAGGGGTGGACCCACGAGTGTTTAGGGGTGTCCCCGGACACCCCTAAATTTTGGGAAAACGATTATCCAACCCCCGGTAGTAATTTAAGTATTGACAAAAAAAATTATAATTGATAGTCGGGGACACCCCTAAATTTAAAAAAAGTGATTATCCTACTCTCATCTTTTAGTTTGAGTATGAAAATATAAGTCGTAGTTTAGGTAATTCAAACCTAGGACACTTTTATTATTAATAAACATAATTTTCATTAGGCTACAACTCATATGTTATTCGATTTTAAACACTGTGTAATAGTATAATGTCATTCTCTATCTCTAATTATTTTCAAAATCTAACAATTAAACAAATTTCAAGCTACCCTTAATTTGTATTTTTTTTTGTTAAAAGATATAATGTATTGATAAAAAAATAGACAGTTACACCCTGGAAACCAGGCAGGTCTGGAAATCAAAGAAGCGACTCATAGTCGGATACAGAGAAAGGGCTTTTCTAGCTACCAAATGAGCTACCCTATTGTTCTCCCGACCTACAAACCGCACACTAAAGCCAGGCTGAGAATGAAAATGATGACCAATCTCTTCCAGAACGGCACCCAACCGGCTATCTCTTGGTTCGGCTTGGTTAATTTTATCAATAATCACATTCGCATCACCCTCAAACCGGACCTCCGACAAGCCTAGCTCCACACACCACAAAATAGCTTCCCTGAGCACCAGCAATTCCACCACCATAGGGTCATCCAATTGCGATAACTGAACCCTTAATTTATATTTATTTATGGTTGTACAACAAGTATTGAAAGAGTCTTTTCAGCTTTGGATTACATCAAGAACAAGTTTAGAAATTGAATATGTGATCAGTTCGTGAATGATTGTCTAATATGATATACAGAGACAGTTTTTTTGAATAGTGTAGACCCCAAGTGTGTTGTGCAATCATTTTTTAATATGAAAACACATTGTGAATTTTTTCAAACTGTATGAGTAAAGTATTTCTTATTTAAATATTATTTATTTTTTATTAATTATTTTAGAATTATTTATATTTAATTTATTTTTTAAGAGGACACCCCTATGTAAAATTTCTGGGTCCGCCACTGCCTACATGGTATCATAATGGCCGCCTCAAATGGGTTTTGGGTTTGGTGTCTTGTGTTTATTGGGTTGTCGAAAAGCTTGAATGGGGAAGATTTAGGGAAACAAGCTCTTGTTGGGTCTTGTGTTTATTAGGTTAGTGATTTTGGTGATGGAAGGTGGTGGGGAACGTCAAGATCAAGCTCCCCTTGGTTCTCTGCCATGACCTCAGCCTTTCTATCGAAGCTCCTCCTTGCTGATGTTTCGTGGCCCTAAAATATTGGTGAGGAATAAAAACTCCTTGTCGACGGACTGGAAAGCTGCGTATGTTGTCACTAGAGCATCGGACAGTAACAGGAGATTTGTCCAAACTAGGGTGGATATACGGTCCGATCCAGTTAAATTGGTCCAAATTGATCTGGTCCCGGTCTAGTCTTTTCGAAATATAAGGATCAAAGATTGGATTGGATACAGTCCGGTCTTGATGCGGTCTGGTCCCAATTCGGTCTTGATTTTAGATTGAGCTTGTGAGAATTTGAGTGGCCTGAGTCCTCAAAGAGTGAGGAGTTGGTTAAAGTTTGGGTGTTGGCTTCTCTTATCCGGTCTTTATCCAGTTTTCGGTCCGATCCCGAACGGTTTTTTACCTCAAATCTAAGCCCGAAGATGGGATTTGATTGTTTGTTATCCGGTCCCGATCTGATTTCGATACGGGTTGTATGATCTGGTTTTGGGTAAAACCAAAAAACCCGAACCCTAAAATGAAATGGGGAACTGAGGACAGACGAAGTACCCTTAAAAAAATTATTTTTAATTTAAAATGACGTATCATCCACCTGTCATCGGAGACGAGTTGTCGATGATGTGTCTAATGAGTTGGCATCCCAGTAAGCGTACCATTAAAATAACTAACGGTGTCATTGACGTTGTTAAAGTTCGTAATGAAAATAGCTATACTTATCATCAACCTTTCAAAATTCTGGTTATTTTGTGCATTTTACGAAAAATGGCTATTATTGTCACAGATGCAGTTTTCCTTTTTTCTGGCTACCAATCGAAAGGCTCCGTACAGAATAAGAACACCTTTATGGGTCATTTAGTTACCATTCCGTCTTCTATAGCTGCCGCAATAGGAAAAAAAATTAAAATGAAAACGAAGCTTGTCGTTTCCTAAAAACAAAATCTGGAAAAAATAATTTGTTTAGCGGAGAATGTGATGAGTTCTAAAACTGAATTCTAAACACGAAAACTTGTTTATTTACTTCATATTGTTTTCTGATACTTGATTAACACAATTTTGCTAATTGAATATCATACAACCCTAGCTATAATTTTTAATCTAAATCACATAATTTTTAAACTACTAATAGACACAATACAGATAGAAGGCATATACCTCGTTTTGTTTCAGGCCATACCTCGGTTCCCTCGAATACCACACAATTGATATTGTTTTCGACATCATTATTCTCCATTGCTTATAAGAGACCACCATCACTCCAACAGATAGAGAACAAACAAGGGGAAATAAACATCATATTCTCCAATAAAAAAATACATTGGATCCTCCAAACAAACAAGTAATTATAAGTTAGGAAGATCTGGATGGTGGTGTTCCTTCGGATTTCCAGCTTTCCCCCTGCCGTTGTGGCCTTTCAGCTTCCTTCCCAGTCGAGCTTCGTCTCTTCTTTTCCCGTCGAGCTTTGTCTCTTCCTTTGGTTCTTGGTTCTCCTGATCAAGGTTTGCTCGTTGTAGGATCCGGAGTTTGCAATTTGGTGGGTGCCTAGTCAAGATCTGGATGGTGGTGTTTTTTCCAGGTTGGTGGTTTCATCCTTTGGTGGAGCCATTCTCTTCTTTCCCTTTCCGACCTGCACTTTGTGTTGGTGTTGCGGGGATTAGCCATCGGATCGTGGAGGGTCAGGTCTTCTCCGGTGGTTGTGGTTGGTTATCGGTGTTTTCTATGTAGATTTGTGGCTCCCTTGGGATCTTCTGCTCTGCTTCAAACATGATGTCTCTACCTCACCTTCCTCTGCCTCTGTCAGCTTGGAGCAATCTGTTCAAATCCTCTTCCACCGCCATGCAATCTTGTTTCTAGGATTCACTGTGATGGATACCTTCGAGTTATCCCCAGGAGGCGGCTTATGGTTCAATCACTAGCCATGGATTTTGAGTTGATCGGACAAGCTGATTTCGCTCTTGTTGCATTCTAAGTGGTTGGTTGCAAGAGAGATTTCTGAT